CTTTGACCGCGGAAAATCACCGCTGACCGCGCTTCTAGTGGCTGCACAGATAGACTTTAGTATTTTGGCTGTAACTTTCCCTACAGATGTCCAAATTATGATATATTTGCCTTTCTGGAAACTAGATACGAAGAGCTACAACTTTTATTTTTGAACCATCTCAAAATCCCTTGTAGATCAAAAGATATATGCTTCCGAAGTCGGACCAACGAACCTGCAGATTCTTTCCCTGGAGCGCCTCAGCGCCCCATTTTCCACCTCAGCTTTCCCTACTCTGCCTCAGCGAAAATCCATCGCGCTCAGCGGAAAATCCCTTCCACCAGAGCGAAAATTAAACACTAGAACCATGCCTGAGTTCCGAAAATGCCCGGACTCGCCCAAAACTCTCCCGAAACACACCCGAGGCCCCCGGGACCTCAACCAGAAATGCTAACCAATCCTAAAACAACATTCAAACTTGTTCCAACCTTCGGAACGCTCAAAATAACATCAAAACATCAAATCACCATCGGATTCAAGCCTAAGGATTTCAAAACTTCCGAATTCCGCAAACGATGAAAAAACCTATAAACCTCATCCGAATTACCTGAAATTTTGCACACACGTCACAAATGGTACAACGGACCTACTCCACTTTCCAAAATTCCAATCCGACCCCGATATCCGAATTTCCACTACCAACCGGAAGACACCAAAATTCCAATTTCGTCAATTCAAGCCTAAATCTACCACGGACCTCCAAAATACATTTCGAACACGCCCCTAAGTCCAAAAATCACCCGACGGAGCTAATCGACTCATAAAAATCCAAATGCAAATTCGTTTACTCATAAGTCAACTTCCGGTTGACTTTTATAACTTAGCTGTCTAACTAAAAGACTAAGCCATCATTTCACTTCAAAACTACTCCAAAGCCAAATCTACCCACTCGATACAACTCAACACAGCTGAACAACACATGAAGAAACAGAAATGGGGAAAACGAGGCTATAACTCTCACAATGACTGACCGGGTCGTTACATCCTCCTCCTAATATATAAACGTTCGCCCTCGAACGAGTCTAAAAACATACGTGGAGTCTCAAATAGGTGAAACCTTCAGCAATATCTTCTTGTCACATTCAAATTATATGAATTCATCTCGCGGTCAGATCATACTCATCACGTATCCATCAAACCACCATTTCCACTAATAGGGACACTACCGTACATATAAGTCCACAAGAACGCGCTCATACAATCGACACCTTAGTGCTCAAGCTACAGTCGAAACCAGACCTCGAGTGCTCTAGACTGGCCCAACATCATCAACACACAGAAATCACATCTCGCACCTCTTCCAGGGAATCACAATCCGTCGATGTACAACTGATACCGAGCGCTTATGTGCGCATGCGAATGTGTGGAAGGAATTCAAAGAGTTACACTTCATGCTGAATCAATACCCCACGATAAGAATTCAAGAATGTGAAAGTTTTCCTAAAATTTCTACAGCCTCTCGAAGATAAGTACAAACGTCTCCGTACCAATCCGCAAGACTCTACTAAACCCACTCATGACTCGTGAGACCTATGTAACCTAGGCTCTGATACTAACTTGTCACAACCGAATATCTAACCATGGTCGTGATGGCGCCTATCGTGTAACAAGGCAAGCCTGCTTCCCAAAATATTACTGCTAAAACGATTATAAAAAATTAATAAAACATTTCAACATTAAAAATTTTTCATAAACTAAATCAACTCTTAGTATAATATAGAAAATACAGAAACGAGACCCAAACAACAGGGTGACACTAAGTCATGAGCGTCTAAAACTATGAACTAAGAGATATAACTGTCTAACTGTCGATACAATCCAAAGAAGTAATACAGAAGGAGTAACAAGGCCCTGCGAATGCTAGCAGCTACCTTGCAGTCTCCAAAGATAGCCGGCCTGAACTCAACAATCGCTGCGTTCTAACTCACCTTGATTTGCACATAAAGTGCAAGGTGTAGTATGAGTACAACCAACTCTGTAGTAACAGAAATAACTAAGGAACTGAGCAGTAGTGACGAGCTAAGTAAAACAATGCAATTACTTCTTTTCACAACTTAAAATACACAGAAATAAACAAGTAAATCTCATAACTCAGTAAATGGTACAAAGAAATTTGCAGGTAAAATGCAGCAACATCAAAGTAAATGAAACCTCGCAGCAATGTCACTCCATCACTCGGCACTCAGCACTCAACACACTCAATATGTACCTGCGCTCACTGGGGGTGTACAGACTCCGGAGGGGCTCCCAAAGCCCAAGCGCTAAGCACGGACAACTCACATGCCATAATATCAATCTCTGGGTCCGCACGGTCAACTCACGTGCTACGCGGACAGCTCACGCGCTATGGTATCAATACCTGGATCCGCACGGACAACTCACGTGCTATCATATCATATCAAATATCTCACTATAGGCCCTCGGCCACAGTCAGTCATGAACCTCTCTAGCCTCACCATCATCAACACATAAGGGGACACAACCCATATCAAATATCACAGCATATCAGCAAAATAATAGAGAATGAGGTAAACATGTACAATAATTTCTGTGACTGAGTGCAACTAATGTGAGCGTGGGTAAAACCTAAGCATGATGAGCATGAAGGCATACAAATTCAACAACGAGCGTACACATATCCACAGATAATAGCCATTAGGCCTCACAGCCTCACGGGAGGACCAAGGCTCAATCCCTCACAGTGTACACCCACACGCCCGTCACCTAGCGTGGGTATCACCACCAAACAATCTCATGATATCAATTTATCCGGGTTTATACCCTCAAGGCCAGAGTTAAAACTGTTACTTACCTCAACAGCGTAAAATCCTACTCCGGGATGCCCTTGCCCCCTGAGCCGGCCTCCAAATGCCTCGAATCTAGCCACAAACAATTCGATACAATCAACACGAGCAAAAGGGACCAATCCCATAAGAAAATACTAAGCTTAAGGCCAAAAGTCAAAAAGTCAACTCAACAGCTAGGCCCCGGGCTCACGTCTTGAAATCCGTCCAAAGTAACAAAATCCGACAACCCACTCGATTACGAGACTAACCATACTAGTTTCACTCAATTCAGACTTCGAATTGGCTTTCAAATTCCAAAAGTTCATTTATGAAGTTCTACAAATTTTCACCCCAAATCACTAATCAAATGATAAAATCAATGATAGATTCATTTATTTTAGCCGAATCAGAGTTAGAATCACTTACCCCGATGAATTTCTTGAAAAACCTTCATAAAATCGCCAAAGCCCGAGCTGTCTAGGTCAAAATATGGAATAAAAACCCAAATCTCGTATTTATAGTGCACCTTTCGGATTCCCATCACCGTTGACCGCGGAAAACCACCGCTGACTGCGGTAAATCACCACTGATCGCAGAAAATCACCATTGACCGCAGAGAATCACCGCTGATCGCGCTTCTGATGGCTGCACAGAGAGGCCTTAGTTGCCATAACTTTCTCTACATATGTCCAAATTATGATATCTTTACCTTTCTGGAAACTAGATATGATGGGCTACAACTATCGTTTTTTCACCATCTCAAAATTCCTTGTAGACCAAAAGATATAGGCTTCCGAAGTCGGACCAACGAACCTGCGGATTCTTTACCTGGAGCGCCTTAGCGCCCCATTTTCCGCCCCAGCACTCCCTACTCCGCCTCAGCGAAAATACATCGCCCTCAGCGGAAAATCCCTTCCCCCACAGCGAAAATTAAACTCCAGAACCATGCCCGAGTTCCGAAAATGCCCGGACTCGCCCAAAACTCACCCGAAACACCCGGATCTCAACCAAACATGCCAACCAATCCTAAAACATCATTCAAACTTGTTCCAGCCTTCGGAATTCTCAAAATAACATCAAATCACCATCGGATTCAAGCCTAAGGATTTCCAAACTTCTGAATTTCGCAAACGATGCAAAAACCTATCAAACCTCATCCGAATTACCTGAAATTTTGCACACACGTCACAAATGGCACAACGGACCTACTCCAAGTTCCAGAATTCCAATCCGACCCCGATATCCAAATTTCCACTACCAACAGGAAAACACCAAAATTCCAATTTTGTCAATTCAAGCCTAAATCTACCACGGACCTCCAAAATACATTTCGAGCACGCCCCTAATTCCAAAAATCACCCGACGGAGCTAATCGAATCATAAAAATCCAAATCCGAATTCGTTTACTCATAATATAAGTCAACTTCTGGTTGACTTTTCTAACTTAACTTTCTAACTAAAAGACTAAGCCATCATTTCACTCCAAAACTACTCCAAACCCAAACCTACCCACTCGATACAACTCAACACAGCTTAACAACATATGAAAAAACTGAAATGGGGAAAACAGGGCTATAACTCTTAGAACGACTGACTGGGTCGTTACAACTCTATTACCGGCAACCAATTCTGCTAATTTCAGGGGACTGGGCTATGCCACTAAGTTCTTGACAAATTGTTTTAACTTTTACGAAGAATATTAATTCTCTTTCTTAATAAAAGAAATCATACTCCCTCTGTCCCTAGTTTATGTGCACTACAAGAAAGAAGGCATTTGCCAACAACAATTATTGTTGCCATAAATCAAATGTTGCTGCTAAAAATACTTTTGGCAACAACAAAAAAGTTGTTGCACACTGTTGCAATAAACGCCGATGGGAAAAGTATTCTCAACAACCAACAATGTTGTTGCAAAAAGCTAACTTAACGCAACAAAAAATATTGTTGCCTTAAATTATATTTTGTGGGTAAAAAGTCATGTAACTGTGGCTTACGAGAAATTTTTTAACAACAAAAATTATTGTTGCAAAAAATGAGCTTATTTACCAACAATATTTGTTGTGGTAAAAACATTGGCAGGAAATTTAGTTATTGATCTGTTATCAAGACTTTTAGCAACAACAGGTATTGTGTCCATGCATTAATTTTTTCTAACAATAATTTCACAATTGTATATATAAAATAATAATTCATATATATAAACGTCAATACATAAAATTGATACACCAATATTTACTCACTTTCAAAAGCTAAACCTCCTAAAACGTATGCTTTTGTACTTACAAAAATAACAAAAGCATCATATACCAAGATCATGAAATTCTAATCTAATTTAATCCTAAAAACAAATCTTCTTCCAACAGCTTGTTGCACTGCATGAACCATATTTCCAGCAATGATGATTTAAACATGTCCATCCTACAAAAGAAGAATATAATTGCATATTGATAAAAGGAAGTTGTAAAGTACAAAACTACAGTTGATAAAGAAAAAGAGAGAACCAACTATGCCTATTGTCCACTTACTAAACATTGCAACTACTTCAGCACTGAAAAATTTACATTCTACAAACTGCCGTATAGAAATATTCAGGTAAAATAAAATTGAATATAAGTTTCAAAATTATCAAATCAAGAGAACTACTTCAAATAGAATTGAATAAATTGAGTTGTAAATCTTTCAAATATTCCACATCAAAGGTGAATGCTCCCCCAAACAAACTTGATGTACCATAACCAAAACTAACTACTCTCAAAGATACAATACTATAGTCAAAACCAAATACCATAGAAAGATTGATTCAAGTAAATAGACTCATTTGTGCGTACAGACAAAATAATTACTGTTTATATGAAAAATAAAGTTATATAGCATGAATCGTAGGACTTGCCTCATTCACTTCTTCCAGAATATAGCACTATAAGATCAACAAGTATAAATGGTAGCAAAAATATGAAGGCCGTAATATAGAGTAGGTAAAACAAAAGATATAATTCACTATATGATACTAGTTCCATCAATTTCAATCTCCTCCATAGTTTTTTCAATTCATTGACAAAATTAAGAATCCATAAATAGCTTGGCGAAATAGAAAGTAGACTCTAAATGGTACACTCGAAAGAATTCAGCATTACTAGCTATATAGGCAATGTCCAAGACATAGAATATAGCGGACCAACAAAAAAATGTAGATTGAACAGAGTTAGTTTTTCAAAAATGAATAGACTTAACTAGTTGTGCGTTTGAAATTACATAATAAGACCAACTCTACCAGAAACATGTTCAACAGTCATGCCATAATCATAATTATAAGTTGCAAGAAATATTGGACCATCATAAGGAAAAAGAGATGCATTCAGTAATATAGTATCAGAACAGAGACAATAGCCTTTTTCCTTGAGTTTCCGCCTAGGCTGCCTAACATAAAGAAGGATAAAGGTAGGCCATGGTTACAAACACCTACCACCCCAACAATTTCCTCCATAGATATAACAGGTAAGTTACTCCTGACAATAGTTTCCAATTCCCCAACCCTAGGTGATTCAGTAAGCAAATCATTATTTTTTTATGAAAGTGTCGTTTGTAAAGGAGACAAATTAAAAAAATTGGAACACAAACGAGTTCAAGACCAATCTCGAAGTAATTATCTTCACGAATGAGCTCGAAACCCAAAACGAACAAAGCTGAGCTAANGGCTGCAACACAGTATAAAGTACGATTAGGCCCAGTAACAAATAGTTAAAGACGATCAAATATAGAAAGTCATAGATTGCCTTAAGATTTACCCTTTAAAATGAACAATAGACGAGACGAGCCTCGCCAAATAAACACACAAATTGCGGGGCCCTCATTAATTGCTTATATCAAAATATTTAGGCCTCGGGATGTTCCATTTAGCGAATTTCATGGCTCCCCACACAGTTAATAAACGCGTAGTTGCTTTAGGCACGTATTTTAATAAATTTACCCTCCTAAATACGGGTGCACATTTATGTGACCCAAATCCAAATCTCAACGAAGTCGAAATGTGTTAACAATCACGGGCGCACTGGTGCGACGTGGTTCGAAACGCATTTTTACGACGTTGCAATTCTTATTAAACATAAAAATAAAAGCGGTTTACTAATAAAAGCATAAATTAGAACATGTTTTGAAATCAGATAAATCAAATACAACAGCTGAGCGACCGTGCTAGAACCACGGAACCCGGGAATGCCTAACACCTTCTCCCGGGTTAACAGAATTTCTTACCTGGATTTCTGGTTCGCGGACTGATAACAGAGTCATAATCTCCTCGGGTCGGGATTTAACCGGTGACTTGGGACACCATTAATTTCCTAAGTGGCGACTCTGAGAATTTAATAATAAATCCCGTTCCGATTGTCACTTCAAGTTGGAAATAACTCCCTTTATTATACCCTCTTCTGCGTGTGGTAGAAAAAAGGAGGTGTGACAATTGACAAAATTTAGAATCCATAAATAGCTTGGTGAAATAGAAAGTAGACTCTGAATGGTACACTCGAAAGAATTCAGCATTACTAGCTATATAGGCAATGTCCAAGACATAGAATATAGCGGACCAACAAAAAAATGTAGATTGAACAGAGTTAGTTTTTCAAAAATGAATAGACTTAACTAGTTGTGCGTTTGAAATTACATAATAAGACCAACTCTACCAGAAACATGTTGAACAGTCATGCCATAATCATAATTATAAGTTGCAAGAAATATTGGACCATCATAAGGAAAAAGAGATGCATTCAGTAATATAGTATCAGAACAGAGACAATAGCCTTTTTTCTTGAGTTTCCGCCTAGGTTGCCTAACATAAAGAAGGATAAAGGTAGGCCATGGTTACAAACACCTACCACCCCAACAATTTCCTCCATAGATATAACAGGTAAGTTACTCCTGACAATAGTTTCCAATTCCCCAACCCTAGGTGATTCAGTAAGCAAATCATTATTTTATTTATGAAAGTGCCGTTTGTAAAGGAGCAAATTAAAAAAATGGACACAAACGAGTTCAAGACCAATCTCGAAGTAAATTATCTTCACGAATGAGCTCGAACCCAAAACGAACAAGCTGAGCTAAACTCAAGCTCCAATTCCACAAAAACTTAATCTGGCCTAGTTCGACCTCGACTCTTGGCTTGTATGACAATCAAGCTCAAGCCAAGCTCACAACTTTTATAAGTAGCCTAGTTCTATCCTCCAAGGCTTGCCTTCGCTCACCTCATTATTAGCTATACCTATAGCGTGCAAGAACATTTATTCAATAAAGATAGTCCTAACATGTTAAAGTTTTGGATTCCTTCTTACATGACCTAATATGCTTTTGAAAAGCTTATAGCAAGTGCCCATATGATATACATTGGTGTATTAAGTTATTAACGTCATACTTGGACTACAACAAGGTTATGTATTATTTCAGTTATATTCTTTTAATTTTTCAAAGCTATCCATATTCATCTGTAATTTCCACCACCAAAGACATTTCTCTCATCTGGTTCCTTGCGCAATACTAAGAAAGAAAATGACAAAGCCAGCTTACCTAAGACAAAGCTCTAATAGAGATAGTGATTTTTTTGAAATCTTTAACTAATATTCCTATGTGATTAGAGAACAATCCACTCAAGCTACAACAGAAAGAACCAAATTTTCTATATATGTAATTTGTAAAGAGTAATTTCTTACTTTATGCTAAGTTAAAATAATTTTTCTCAAAACAAGTACTAGTGTATACAATGAGAATTGTAAATGACTAAGTGATCTTTAGCAAAATCAGTAGATCAACTGTTCAGATATTTAAGACAATTATCTACAAACTGATTGACTTGTAGTAACTGGGCTTAGGGATTAAGCAAATATATACTATGAACTGTTGCATTTTGTACTGCTTTTTCTTTGCAGATCAAAGGCTTCATTTCTTATTGATTAACTAATGAATATTTCTTTACATGTGTTTAAACATCTACTGCACATTAAACAATAAGAATTTCTATCAAAGCAGAGTATTACCTCTTTTTCTCCATCTCATATGTATTAGCAAGACTTTTTCTCTCCACACTTGTGATATCCTGAGAATAAAGGAGAGAAGTATAATTGGTAGTATAGATAATTCTAGATCAATTATACACAAATATACCAGTGGAAATACTAACTGGCCCTAGCATCTTATAAAAAAAATAGTGAATGACTGATAATTGGTAGCACAAATAAGGCTTTATGGATGCAAGGCACAAAGATTTATTTCTTGAAATCCCTGTAATATTGGAAAGAGTTTGTTCTTCTAGTTTTTTGCTCACTTGTAATTACTACAGGTGAGTGCACATGAGACTTGTGTGTTCCGTTCAAGAGTTTGGCGTATCGATCATAAGAATTTGCAATCATGGAAACCATACGACGCAACAGATTTCTTCTAAAAAGAAATATCACGGAAACGCCTTTGTTGTTGAAGTACACAACAATTTCCTTGTTGCACAAAATGAGAACTCTCTTTTATCGGCTGAAGACCAGCAATATCACAATTTTCTGCTAGATTTTACTTGCGCAACAAATGCTGCTAATAAATGAAGTGTTAATCAATTACAAATGCTATCCCTTTCAGACTTTACTCTCTGTGAACAAGTGCTATTAGTATACGAAGTGGTTTTGAAACGAGACTAGTTCCACCACACACAGACTTTCTCTTTTATGTGACACATAGTTGTGTGGAAAAATTTGCAAACTGATTTGATAAGATCCAAATTTTCACAATCTGTAAGAAAATATTGAAAGACCCAACTTTGATGCATGATCTACTTTAAAAAAATACCACTCAGAGCAAAAAATTATTTCGCTAATATTACAACCTTGAGTGGATCTCCGAGAGAAATTCATTTATATGCAACGAAGTCTAGAGGGCTAAAGGTATTCAAGCACAACAAAAATCTGGTTTGGAGAGAATTTTTTTTATCCAAGTGGCACCACCTAACCACATCCAACTTAACCAAAATTTTCATATTGCACAATCAGTAGCAAGTCAAAAGAAATCAAAAGGAACTAAGTCTACATTTAGCATAAGATCAGGCCAAAATAACATCCAGTTATTATGCACCAACTTGGCATATTCAGAACATTGTAACAAAAGTTTCATGTGATAAAACTCCTTTCCACCGCATTTTTTCAAATCAAGGTCAGAGTTCTCAACCCTTTCCGTCTCTCAAAATAGTTAATGAAGTTGTCAACCAGTGTTTCAAAAGGCAAAGGCTTTCCCCGGCTCATGAGGAAAGGAAGGAGTCATGTGGTTGCATCTCAACTCAAGCAGCGTAAATCTTAAGCTAAGTATACCTCCCACTAGCAATNAACGAATAGGGGTAGGTGAGAGCCAGAACGAAAATAAAAGGGGGGGGGGGGGATTCTAGGGAAAAGGGGAGGGAAGTTTGCCGCGTTATGTTTTTTTGATGAAAATTGAGAAAGAGCTAAATATTCTTTAGCCACAAGTCAAACAAGTTGTTGAAAAAAATAAGTATTTTACCAACAAGAAAAATACTTTTGGCAACACTGATAATTTATTGTTGCCAATTTATTTATATCTTAAAATTGTTATATTACTTAAAACATTATGGCAACAAAATTAAAACGTTAGCCAACAAGAAATTTTTTTTGGATAAAAGTTATATGATACAGCGACAACTAAATAAAGTTGTTGCCATTTATTAGTATTTAGCAACAATATCATTGTTGTTGCTAAAAGATTGTTGCAAATTATATACTTTCTTGTAGTGGTGATTGCTTTTCGCTTCTCGATATTTAAACTATGTGAACTTTAGTTAATATCTTTAAAAAAAATTATCATATCGACTTGAGAAGAACTGTATATTCATATAGAAAGGTCTTTGAAATCCTGTGTGTTGGCACTTGGAATATTTCGGAAAATGCATATACATTTTTATCATTCAGCCTCTGCTAACCTCAATCATTGTCTCTTTTTGAATCTTCACCTTTGCATTGGAAGAGTATTCTTAGGGTATTGTTTTCAATTAGTTGGTAATGTGCAGATTCCAATATCAAAATTGAGTTGAGAGTCCTCAAATATGGTTGGACAACACAATGTTTTCCGTATCATGAACTTTGTTGTAAATGGAGGTAAAGCCGAGTCACATATGTTACTGTTTTTTATTGTTCATATTCTTACGTATATTTGGTAGTATTCTGAAAGGGATCAGAATATTTTTTGTTGGACAAGGTTGCTGAATCGCAGATAATGTAAGCTCTTATCAGCCTGAGTTATACCAAGAACGAAGTTAATAACGAAAGAAATGATAAAGCAGCTGCAGACGTTAATGGATCAAAGACAAATTTTTTTATAATCATGATCAACATTTGTTTTTGTCTTGTAGGTCTATGAGACATTAGCACTAAATTCCTCCTCAAATCTTTTTTGGCAGATGGTGAGCAACTCAAGAAGATTTTTTAGGTTTACCTCTCCTTTCATCTTTCGACAGTTTGGAAATTTATGGTCGCTCTTAGTTTAAATGTTCCAGATTCTATACGATTTAAGCTAACCTACTTATAAAATATAGAGAAGGACCATGACAACTCTGCATTATTACCTCTCAAAATGAGAATAATATGGCTTCTCTTTTTAGTATTGCTACATGAGATGAAAGCTCACCTTGAGATAAACATCTGTTTTAAGCTTTTTGTTTTCTGCGGTTTATACCTTGGCCTCTCTTTTTTTTCCCTTAAAAGTTTTTCTTTGATTTTGAAAGATAATACTAGCTTGGTGAATGATATGATGATATTGTATGGGTCAAAATTAGACCAGAGAAATTCGGCACGCGAAGACATAAAGCCAAGGCCGGACAGACCAAGGTCGGGCCGTCGTCAATAAAGCCAAGGCCGGACCGTCATCAATAAGGTCGAGGTCGGACAGGCCGAGGACGGACAGTCATGAAACTGCTAGTTTTCTTTAGAATACTCAAAAGGAATATTCTACCGAATATTCTCTCTAAATTATACCTTCTGTAAGGATTTTCTATACCCCCACACTCCCCCCCCCCCCCCCCTTTTTATAAATAGGAGAGAAGGACTTCCTTTAGAGGGGGCTTATCTCTCTTGGTCTCCCTAGGAAATGATGTAAACCACATCTCTCAAAAGAGAGAAGAGATTCTGGATCCAAAAACCTTCATTCAGAATCCAAAAAAGGGTCAAGGGTTCTTGTGTATTTTGTCCTATCTTCATTCTTTATCAAATGAAAGAAGATTCCGACTCACTCAATGATCGGGTGAATCTTTTTCCTTTATCTACAATTATTTCCATTTAATGTTATTCAACGCAATTTTTTCTTAATGTCATTAAATCTGCTTAAATCACGCCCAATATTTATACTCGCTTATTGGTTATTCTACTTCTATTATTCGTCTCGGATCTAGAATTAATTATCTTTAACAAGGATTTACCCCTTCATCTTATTTGATTTGATTTTGCTTAAAAAGTGTTAAACAACTTTTGAGTCAAACAATTTTGACGCCACTCAAGATCGGTGAATCTTTTCCCTTTATCTACATTTTATTGCCATTTATGTTATTCAACGGCATCTTCTTATGTCATTAAATTCCGGCTATAATACGCCCATATTTATTACTCGGCTATGTTATTCTACTCCCTTATTTCTCTCGGATCTAGAGTTAATTATCTTTAACTAGGATTTACCCACTTCACTATTTGATTGATTTGCTTAAAAAGTGATTAGAACAACTTTTGAGTCAAACAATTTTGGCGCCGTCTGTGGGATTTTTCTATGTTAAAAATTTTAGTTTCCTCTGATTTAAATCCAACTCTAAGTTCCATTTGCCTAACTCGTTGTAGCGCCTCCTTAGGATTGCATATCGTTCGGGGAAACAATGAAAATTCGAAAAGTAAGAATTTCCAAATACAGACGAAGTAATGCGACTTCTTACCTGAAATATTAAAAGGAAAAGAGTTATATGTATTCGTCAATGACGGCCGTATTCATGATCATATGGCTAAAGTCAATGATGTTTCGTTCAATAACGATAAAGCCAGTCCATATTATCGCGTAAAAGATCTATGCTAGGAGTACGCCACTCCAAATATATACATATTCTTGGCAAGCATACCTTTTCATTAAAAGTATAGAAAAATTTCGTGTTCCCTCTTAAAGTCCCAAACCATTATGGAACAAAAATACATCCAAGTGGATATTGATTTGACCCTTGGTCATGCTGTTTCGTATCAATATTAATCAATATAAAAAAAGAGACAGCAGCTATTGTGTCAGCTACTTCAAGTTTTCTTGCTTTCTCTTCATTGTTGTAAACACGACAGCTCAGGATGAGGCCTTGAAAAACAGATCAACGGATTGATGGTTGGCCAAGCTTTCGGTTATACCTTCGCCTTCATTTCCATGATTGGCTTTTTAACAGCCCCCCCAAAAATACGAGACAATAGCGTGGATCTCAAGAAGACGCCACAAAAAGAGTGGTCATCTGGTGCCCCCCTTCTTCCCAACTGTCCTCTATCAGATATATGCTATCTGTACAATAAAAACTTAACTAAAGCGGCCAGCCACACAAAATTTGTAAGCTTGCCATAAAAGCATAACTAGAGGAGAACATGGCCCGCTCCTCTCCACTCGCCGACCGATTCAAATCGAGGGTAACGAACGATTTAATTTGGTAAAACTAACCATTTTCTTAATGGAATAGAAGCAGGAGCTTCTCACAGAATACACGAAAGGAAATGCATCAATATTCTCAAACAC